AGATGGCAAGGTTGATAGCTGCTTCCTGCCTTGTGAGGGTCCAGATCCCTGGGAACCTCCTTGCTCTAACTCAGACTGGTCCTTCCCTGCCCCAATGATGCCCTCAAAAGCCATCGGGGGTGTGGTGGGGCTGGGAGCAGCAGCAGCCCCTGGTGTGGGAGGGTCACCCCATACAAGTCCCTGTGTGTGCATCTAGGTGTGGAAAGGCAGCTTCTCCTTATCACAGGCTTGCTCCTAAAAAGCAGAAGCAGAACTCAGTATGAGCCCGCCACAGCTTTTTCTTCCCTCCCCCTTCCCTGTCAGCTACTCTGGCTGGGGACAGCATGGGCAGCCCCATGGACCACCCTATGGACAGGATGTGGAGACAGGGTGTGCAGGGACCCTCTGGCCCTGCACTGCAGACCGTGTCATCCTGCTGGGTTCTTGTCTCTGCCTCTTGGAGGAAGCTGTTTGGCTAAATATAAACACCACAGCTCAGGGGAAGGTTGCTGAGGTCTGCAGTGTAAGTGGCTGGTGTGGGGACAAATCTTGGCTCACCACCATTTGACATCTCTATAGACCTCCCATAACCTGCTCCTGGGAGCGGTGCTCCTCCCTGGCTGCTGGGAAGGCAGAGATGGTCTGCTGGGGAGGAGAAAGTTGTCCAGGCGTGGAAGGAACACCCTGGGACTTCCACAGAGTGGCAAGTTGCAGTCCCATCTGGTGGCCCAGCATGACCAAGAGCCTGGCCCAGCCCCCACAACCCACATCCTGATGGCTGCTGACAGGCCAGTTTGGTGCAGAAAGCCTTTTCCCCTGCCTCCCTTCTCCCTCCACAGTCACCTAAGTGTCAGGATTGGGGCTCAGTTCCCCTGACATGGGGGAAATCCCTGCTCAAGCCCTTCTGCTGAGGCTCAGCACCCAGTTCCCAACGGGGGCTGCCCCTTCCCAGAGCTGTGGGAGCACCCTGGAACCAGACAGTTGGTGTGGGGCTGTGTCAGAGGGGAGTAGGGCACAGCAGAACGCTGGGGCACTGGCAGGGCACCGGCAGGGCACCGGCAGCTGTGACGTGTGTGTTGAGGCTGTTTTTTTTCCCTGAGGGCTTCCTATCAGCCCACTTTTTACACCGCAAGTTTCAAAGTCTCCGCTTGAACTTTCTGGTGTCTGCCAACCTGCTGATGCAATCTCTATTTAGATGCTCCTCCTTCAGCTGAGGCAGTGAGCCCTGTCATGTCTATGGGTTTGCACAGAAGGAAGGTGTTGCCTGCTCCCTGGAGGAGGCAGATGGGTAGGATCAGAAAACACCCCTTGGGCTCAGGGATTGGACTTCATGAAGATGTTGACGAGAGCTGAAAGAAGTGAAGATCAAAGTGAAGGGTGGATCCTTCCAGCACATTGGCCTGTGCAGTCCTTCCCCTTTCCGGGCAGCACCCATGATGACACTGTTCCTCAAGGTCCATATGTTTGGCTGCCTGCCCATCCATCCAGTCATCCATCTAATCATTTTTCAGTGCCTCCATCCAACCAATCTTCTCCCCCTCCCTTTCTTCCATCTATCTAAATCTATCTATCCATCCATCCATCCATTCATCACTATCAACCTTTGCTGCACCCTGGGGCAGCCTTTGCTCTACCTTCAGCTCCACCCATGCTGGATGATGCTGGGGGATGTGTGTGGTGGTGGTGGAAACAGGTCCTGGGAGCAGGAGAGGGTGAAGGATACGCAGGGCTCATACCTAGAGGGCAAATGGACAGCTGGAAATGTGGAGTTGGGGCTGTGCCCAAAGGGTTTACCAGGGCTCGATAGAGAGTTGAGCACCTGGAAGAGCTTGGTGGAGGAGTGGGAAGCTGGAGGCTGTTGGGCTTGGAAATCTGCTGGAGCTTTTCAGGCGAGAGCTCTGCTGAAGACCAGTCCATGAGATAAAAGAGGTTGCTGCGGGGCTCCCCGCTGGGCTCAGGATCCTGGTGTGGGTGAGAGCTGCCCAAGACCTATCTATGAGCTCAGGAGATGCAAAGCATGAGATCCCAGGGATGGGGTCACATCCTCCCCCACACGTGAGGTACTGGAACGGGCTGTGGACCTGTGTACACAGCACGAGAGGCCCTTGCCACGGTCCCCCTGCCCCCCATCCATCGTGGTGCCGGCTGACATCACTGCCTCCGGGCTAATCTCTCCTCCAGCAGCAGCTTCCCGTTTCCTTTCCAATCTCTGCGCTGTGGGGCGGCTCCTCTCTGCTCGGGGGCCAGGCAGGAAAAGCTGTCCAGCTGGACTCTCGTGCAGAGCTGCAGTCCCCGCGTGTCTGGCCCTCACCCCACTGGGCTGTGGGCCACCCGCTCCCCCAGTAACCCAGTGAGGAGACTGGGGAGAGTCTCTGGTCCCCCCACACTCTGCCTGCCCTCTCCCTCACTCAGGTGCTTGGGGATGCTGGTGCACGGCCCGCTTCCTGTTTGTGCAACAGGAAACCCACAAGTGGCACACCATTCAGTAAGAAATCACTGCAATGGGGGGTCCCAGCCCCCCACAGGGCCTGAGGCACTCCCCCTCCCCAGCCCTACCCCTGGCTGGGATGATTCTGGGGGCAAGGAGGCCTGCTACAGCCCAGTGCTGGATGTGGACCAGTGTCCCTGCCACCCTAATGGCTCTTGTCTTCCCCACACACTTGATGTCACCGCCACCCTGGCTTTTTCGGGCAACATCCTCAGCTGTCACCCACCCTGGCACGGGCTGGCTGGGGGGAAGGGATTCCCTCCTGGCCTCTCGGTGCTTGCTCAGCAGCTCCATACACCTACGTAGGGCTGGCCCAAAATAGCCCCGTGACAGAGCTGCAGCCTGGCTGCTGCAGAGAAACGTCCAGGCAACAAGAAGAGATGAAGCTGCTTCCTGCAGCACTGAGGCCATGGAGGGGTGCTCTTCACTCCAGCGTGGGGGTGCCAGTGCACTCTGTCCCATCAGGGCAGCACCCAGGGGTGTTTCTCCCTCTTGCTCTCCCCACATTTCCCTGCCCAGCTCTACCATGATTATTGCAAAGTGTTATTGGGGTGATTTGGGGCTGGGATGTGTCTTTTCAGAGGTAAAATTCTCCCTGCTCTGGGTGCCCTCTGTCTGCTGACATGGTGGGAACAGCACAGGGCAGAGAGGGACTGCTCCCTTCACCATGAGTCCTGTGTGCTGTGAGGGTGGAGCCTGCTCGTCTCCTGCCCTTGGGTTTTCTGCATTTTCTCTGCAGAGGCACCTCCTCGCCCTTGCTCTGCTTGTGGGGCCAGCTCAGCTCTACCATGATTATTGCAAAGTGTTATTGGGGTGATTTGGGGCTGGGATGTGTCTTTTCAGAGGTAAAATTCTCCCTGCTCTGGGTGCCCTCTGTCTGCTGACATGGTGGGAACAGCACAGGGCAGAGAGGGACTGCTCCCTTCACCATGAGTCCTGTGTGCTGTGAGGGTGGAGCCTGCTCGTCTCCTGCCCTTGGGTTTTCTGCATTTTCTCTGCAGAGGCAGCTTCTCACCCCTGCTCTGCTTGTGGGGCCAGCCCAGCTGCAAACCGTGGGAGCCTGCTGCCCCAACAGCCAGGACCTCCTCTCCCCTCCCCAGCACTCTCTGCAGTGAGACAGATGTGTGTGATGTCCTCCTGGAGCAGCACAGGGGACATACGTGACCTAAGAGGGCAGTTATACATGACCTAAGGGGACAGTGAGCATCCGTGCCTGGGATGCTGGGGTTGGCGTCTGGAGGAACTGGGGAAGAGAAGCACAAGGTGAGGGGGAAGCAAGCACAGGGCAGCAGCCCTCACAGCTTGGGGTGGGACCTCAGGGGATGAGGGTGACTGGGGAGCGTGAGGCTGGAAGGGTCATATGGGACCTAAAAACCACGGTGACAAGTGGCTCTGGGCTGGCTGCAAGCCCTGGGTGCTGCCAGGAGGGTGTCCCCCATCACTGCCTAAGCAGAGCTCTGGTTGTGAGAGTGGCTATCACATCCTGGTGATCACATCCTGGCCATGTCCCCTAGTCTTTGCCTTGCTGGGACAGGTTTGGAGCTGAGCATCCCGCTCAGCTGCAAACCGTGGGAGCCTGCTGCCCCAACAGCCAGGACCTCCTCTCCCCTCCCCGGCACTCTCTGCAGTGAGACAGATGTGTGTGACGTCCTCCTGGAGCAGCATAGGGGACATAGGTGACCTAAGAGGGCAGCTATACATGACCTAAGGGGACAGTGAGCATCCGTGCCTGGGATGCTGGGGTTGGCGTCTGGAGGAACTGGGGAAGAGAAGCACAAGGTGAGGGGGAAGCAAGCACAGGGCAGCAGCCCTCACAGCTTGGGGTGGGACCTCAGGGGATGAGGGTGACTGGGGAGCGTGAGGCTGGAAGGGTCATATGGGACCTAAAAACCACGGTGACAAGTGGCTCTGGGCTGGCTGCAAGCCCTGGGTGCTGCCAGGCGGGTGTCCCCCATCACTGCCTAGGCAGAACTCTGGTTGTGAGAGTGGCTATCACATCCTGGTGATCACATCCTGGCCATATCCCCTAGTCTTTACCTTGCTGGGACTGGTTTGGAGCTGAGCATCCCAGCACCTTCATCAGCGATGGCCCCATTTGCATTGGCATCGCACGGATTAGCCTGAAACTGGGGCAGGAGCCCTGCAGCTTCAGGCAGCCTCAGAGGGTGGGGGCAAATGCTTGGATGGAAAATCCAGCATTTGTCAGCGTATTCCCCCAGTGGTGTCTGTCTAGACTAACTTCCTGTTAGCTGGTGGAACTGTCCCACGCTCACGCACACTCAGTCCCATGCGTGTGGGTGTGTGGAGCCCAGCATCTGCCTCTCCTGCCCCACCACAAGCCACCTCGCTCTCTGCTTAAGGTCACCCGTGGGTTCTAGGACCACCCAGCTGGACTGACCCTCCTGTCCCACCCAGGACCTAGTGCCTGGACAGTCTTGGGGTGGGCTGAGTGCCAGTTTCCTCACGATCCTGTGACATCCCGAAGCTCTCTCGCACACACACCAACCCCTTTATTGTTGTGCCAGAAACGACAGCAGCAGCAAACACTGAGAGAGTGGGGACAGAAGCTGCCCAAGACCCCACTGCTGGGAACATCCCCCCAAACACCACCTGGGGAAGGAGTCCCCAGAGCCAGCTGGACTATAGCCAGCCTTCAGAGATGAGCCTAATGCCCAGGAAAGGACCTGAGGGGGTTCCCTGGGATGGGGGTAGGGAGTCAAAAAAAGCCCTGGGGGGAGCTTAGTGGACTGGAGTGGGTCCAGTCTGATTGTGGGCCTGGCAGTCCCAAAACTCGGGCCAGAGAGGGTCAGCCCAAGCCCTGTGCTGCTGAAAAGCCTGGGCATGACCCCCTATAGACCCCCCCCAATTCTGGACCTTTGAGGGACACCCCTAGGAAGTCTTACAATGGCAAAGGGATATACTGCTTCTGGGAAAGCTCCTACCCACCCCAAGAAGGGTCCCCCCTCTCTTGCCCTGTCCAGCATCTTGTTGGGGCACCCGCTCCCACTGCTTGCTCTACTTCCTCTGTGGGGACATTTACATGGGCCACCATGAGTGCAGGGGGACCAGGGTTCCTGTCCTCCCTCTTCGCAGCACCCATGCTGCAGGTTCCCATGGGACCCTGGGATTCCCTGCTGCCTGAGTAGGGGGGTCTATGATGAAGGAATTGGAGAGCAGACATGATTATTGAGGTACAGGGGGCCCAAAATCCCACCCAAACCCTTCAAGATGCCAAGCCCCAGTCATGAGGGGGTCGCCCCAGGAGAGGGCTGTGGCGAGGGCTCAGGCCTCATGGTCACTGGTGCTCAGGTGGTCCTCGGTCAGCCCTGTCTCATCGATGTTCTCCAATGAGTCAGCATGTTGCACTGAGAGCTCGGCCAGGCTGACACTGGGCAACGTGTTCTGCTCCGGGTACACCCAGGGCTTGTATCCAGGGTCATGTTTGCGTTTCCACTCCGGGTACTTCAGCCCAGCCTTGTAGATCTTCTTCATCGCCTGTGGGCAGAGTGGATCCAGCTCGCCATGGTGCCCCAAGTCCCCAGTGGGGATGGAGCCACCCTTTGGGCATAGCTTCCAGCTCCCCCATTGGTTGCTTTTTGGGGGTGCTGGGAGGGGACGGAGGTTTGACGCGGACCACACAGCCCCAGCAGCATGCCTGGTGTGTGCCCTGTGAGCCCTGGGTCACCCAGCACCCATCCTGCCCCTTTCTAGGGGACAGCTCATCCTCATGCCTGTGCATCCTACCACCGGCCACGCACCCTGCTTACCTTTGGTGCCACAAACTGGGAGACACGGTTCACCACCCACTTTGGCAGCGACCCTGCAAGAACCCAAAGCCCTGTCACTCAGCCAATCTGGGCCAGCCCCAGAGGAAGCACCATGAGCCTGTGGCACCCTGTGCCAGACTGATCCCCCCCCAGGGCTGACGGCACTGTGCCCTGGGAGGGGACCTCCATCTTCCCTGGGTTTGTCCCCACTTCCCATCACTCTCCAGGCGATGGAGAGCCATGGTGGGTCAGCTCTGGAGGTACAATGGGACCCATCCCCGAGGAGGCATGCTGTACCCTCCCTCCTGCTTTTACTCACCACGAGGATCCACCTGGGTGAGATAATAGAGGATGCAGGCACCATCACCATTAGCCTTGATCAGGTAACCTGTCTGCAGGGACACGGCCCTCACAAAATCCTTCCGGGGTGGGTATTTCTGCAGAAAGATGTCATGCACCTCAGAGCCTGTCTGAGTCGCTGCCCAGCCCTGCCTGTGGCTGCTGGCCTTTGGGGCCCATGGGGCCAGCACCCCTGACAGAGCTGTGGCCAGTCGGGGGGCTCACCGGGTGCTTGACGCTGTAGTTGATGATCATGTAGTCATTGCCCAGGGGCAGCCAGGAGCGCAGGGTGACAAAATCCCGGTTCTTCAGGGGGCTCGGGCATTTCCCTGTGGAAAGACCTTGTTACACCCCACCCCATTGTCCCCATGGCCCCAGACCCATGCATGGGGCTGTGGAGTCAGCGAGTGGGTCCCTGGGGTTCTCCAGGGGTTGGGGGCTGCTTACAGGAGTAGTATCCCACATCAGCGTTGACGGTCAGACGCCCAATGTCATAAGTCTCGATCATGTTCGAGTCCCATTTCTTGCGGTAGCTGGTGTCGTGCAGCACATCATAGAGCGTCTCAGCAGGGACGTCCTTACAGGAGATACGAGTCTGTGGGGACATGGGCAATTAGGCAGCGTGGCAGCACCCACCCCCGGAGCTCAGAGCAGTGCCTGCTGGGGAACGAGGACTTCAGGCTGTTCCTGTGTGTGGTGGTGTGGCCCTGAGTTGCTATAAAGCCACGTGCACGTGCCATGGAGGATAGAATCATAGAATCATAGAATCATTGAGGTTGGAAGAGACCCTTGGGATCATCGAGTCCCACCATCTACCCTACTCTACAAAGTCCTCCCCTACACCATATCCCTCAGTACTGCATCTAAACGGCCCTTAAACACAGCCAGGGATGGTGACTCCACCCCCTCCCTGGGCAGCCTGTTCCAACGCCCGACCACTCTTTCAGTGAAAAATTCCTTCCTAATGTTCAATCTAACCCTCCCCTGTTGGAGCTTGAAGCCGTTCCCTCTCGTTCTATTGTTAATTACCTGTGAGAAGAGACCAGCACCAACTTCTCTAGAGTGTCCTTTCAAGTAGTTGTAGAGAGTGATGAGGCCTCCCCTCAGCCTCCTCTTCCTCATACTGAACAGCCCCAGCTCCTTCAGCCACTCTTCATATGATTTGTCTTCTAGGCCCTTCACTAGTTTTGTTGCCCTCCTCTGCACTCGCTCCAGCACCTCGATAGTCTGCATGTCCTTCAGGACAGGCCATGCAGAGCCACTGCCCCACTGCCAGCATGCACCAGCCCAAAGGCAGGGGGGCAGTGGGGATAGAAGGACCCTCTGCCCTCAAACAGAGCCACTTGGTGGTCCAGGCTCTGGTGCTGGGGTACCCTGAGCCCATCCCTGTCCCCTCACCCCATGTTCCTGCAGGGCAATCAAAGGGGTGTTCATGCCCTGGCACAATGGTCTCAGGCACGGGGTCCAGTCCAGAATGGCTGGTGGGACCCTGACTGTAACTGGAGCCGTGGAGCTGCCCAACTGTGCCGGCAAATGCATTATTGATGAAGCCGACCGCCCTGCTCCTCTCAATGCCGGGAGGAAGGAGATGTCATATGCTCCTCGTTAGAGGCCTTGCATCTTTGATGAGGTGCTCAGCAGCGCTGTGTAATCGGAGATGGCCCTCTGAACATGGCAGGTCCCATCAATCTCAGGCAAGCTTTCCCCGATGGCCTGGGTGATGGTTTCTGCCCGGCGTGTTGGACTCATGCCCAGGACAGGCTTGGAGATGTGCTGCACTCCCCAGGCCACTGTGGAGGAGAGTGTGAGAGCACCGAGTCCCCCTCCCCCTGCTCCCCCTCTCCGGCCACCCCCTTCCCACTGGCTCTGGAGGTGCTACTGCTGCAGGGTGAAGGATGCCTCCAGCTGGAGGTGGAGCTCATGGTCCTCCGGGGCTTGTGGAAGATCTGGTCATCACAGTGGGACCATTGTAGCCTTGCTACATTTGTAGTTCCCAAATCCTCCACTAAAACCTGTTCACCACAAATCTCCAGCCATGGATGGATAGAGGCTCTGCAACAGCCACACCAGGTGGTCAACTGGGACAGGGAAAGCACAGAGCCCTGAACCACAACATCCACAGTGAATTCAGGTGGAAAAAACCCAGAGCTCCAACTTCTCAGGGGCTCTCCAGGTTATACCCACATTAATGGAAAGACTGGGGCTTTTCTGACCCCCAACCCCAGCCTGCACAGCTCAGGTCTCCTGCACAGACTGGGTGGGATCCTTCATCTCACATTTTGGGAAGGGTCCCTGGGCAACGCTAACCCCTGCACCATGCTCAGGTCCTCTCCAGAGGAGGGAAAAAACATATCAAGGAGGTATTACTTGCAATGAGCCAGGCTGGGCGATGGTGCTCAGAACCCCCTGAACCTGCCTGGGGTTCACTCTCTATGGGACTTGGTGGTGGCAAAGGGGAATATAACTGCATCCCTCCTGCTGGTTAGTACTTGTTTGAACTTGGCTGGACTTTGTGAGGTTCCTGCCAGCCCATCTCTCCAGCCTTTCCAGGTCATGCCGAGCAGCAGGTTCATCCTCAGCACTTCAAATGCTCTCTACGGTGCTGCCTGCTGAGATGGTGCTTGATCCCATCATCCCAGTAGCAGGGTGGGACCCAGCAACTGGCCACCATCTGGACTGCTGACCACCATGCCATGAGTCTGGTGGGGAGCTGGTTTTCCACTCACCTCATCATCCACTTCTCCAGTCCAGATCTCACGAATGTGGTGGCAAGGACACTATGGGAAACCCTGTCAAAGGCTTTAATAAAGTCAAGGTACAGGGCTTTCACCTTTCTCCCCATACCCACACAGCCTGTCCTCTCATTGCAGGAGGCAATCAGGCCAGTCAAGCATGATTTGCCCTTGGGAGGTCGCTGCTGCCATTACCACTGCCCTTGTCCTTCAGGACACAGCTTCCAGGAGGATGTTCTCCATCACCTTCCTAGGAACAGAGGTGACACAGCAGCCTATAGAGCCCTGGAGAATCCTTCTTACGTTCCTGGAAGATGGATGGGATGTTTGCCTCTCCCTACTTATCAGGGACCTCCTGCAGTCCACCAGGACTTTTCAAAGAGATGAGGTATCAAAGAGATACCACTCAGCACCCCCTGGTACATCCTGCCTGGTCCTGTGGACTGTGCAGGCCCAGCTAGCTTAAGTGCTCCCTGATCCTAGCCCAGAAGCTCTTTCCCGGCTCATGATGGCAAGGTGGCATCTCTTGCAGCTACACCTCAGCAGAGAAGCTTCTCCTCCTCCCCTTGGCCCTGAAGGACCTCTATCCACGGCAGCATTGAAATCATTGTGTGCCCAGCTCCTCTTCATGTTTCCTGGTGTGCAGGCATGCAAGACTGGCTGCTGGTTGCTCTGTGTTCAGGAGAGCGGTGCAAGAGCCTCCTCCAGCGTTTGGTACCCAAATCACCTCTTCACCACCTCCCCCTGCCTTCCCTGCTCTTCAGGTCGCAGTAACCCTTCCCTGACCCTAGTCCTGGATGAAAGGATGGCTCTCCTCTGGGCAAGATGCTCTGGCCCTACTTTCTTAGGTGGATCCCATCCCTGCCCAGCAGTCCTGGTCCTTGGTTGTCAGAGAAGCTAAAGCCCTGAGTGCCAAAGCCTTCTGTGACACCAGCTGTGGAGCCAAGCATTGATTGAAGGATGCTCCCACACAGAGCCCCATAATGAGGGTCCCACTCCCCTTGCCCCCAGCACCCTGTAACCACTCTTGTTGAGTCACCTGACAGCCACGCAGGTGAGCAACAAAGTGTAACAACCTGAGGGACAGTTGAACCTCGCGTCCCAGATCTGGTCCCTGGCAAGCAACAAACCACTCGAGACAGCATGTGGCAGGGGCAGGGGGTGGTGGTGTCTTAAACTCTCCAGGATGATCATCCAGCACAGGATGGGAGGGCATGTGCCCCAGGATCAGGATGGTGTGACCGGGGTGAGAGGCACCAAGGAGGCATCCCGCCAGCCTGTCTCATGCCTGGGGGCTCCCGGTGAGGCCATCTCCACGACGTAATCGATCCCAGGGGCTTTCCTGCCTGTGTCTGGCTCAAGGGCAGCCGCAATGTGAGCCCACATGCGTGCATGCATGGCAGGACACTGCAGCGGGCACCTCGGCGGGTCAGGAGGCTAAAGCCACGGGGGCAGGCAATGTGAGCCTGCAGAGCAGCGTGCCAGCTGGGGAACCACCTCTGGGGAACCAACCCCAGCAGCCCCAGCATTTAGGGCAGAAACACCTCCAGGCAGGCTGGACAAGTGTTCTGTGCACCCCCAGGATGGGCCAGCACCCCAGGGACCCCCGGGGGCAGCTGGGGGAGGGAAGGGCTAGGAGTCCTGCAGCCGCCGGCGTCTGCTTACCTTGATTTTCTGCACAGTGCAGCTTTCCTCCTGGCCCTGACTCCACACGGTCACACCAGCCTTGTTGTACCGACAGTGCCAGCCCTCCAGGCTCTCGCACTGGTCCCTGAAGGAGCTGAAGTCGGAGTCATCTGGGATATAAACCATCTCCCCTCCTCTGGACATGGGGCCGAGCTGGCAGACCCAGGGTGGGGGCACTGGCTGCAGGCAGGCAGGCTCCTTCTGCCTCACCTCCCGGGAAACCCGGCTCTGCCCTTGAGCTCTGCCTTGCTGGGTGCCTGCTGCAGCTCACATCATCCTCCCAGCTCCTACCCTGTGCCCCCGGAGCAGACCACCGGCCGCCCAAGGCACACCAGGATGGGCAGAGACCTCCAGCCACCCCGGCCACGCTGCGCCGCACAGAGCAGCGGGGAGGAAGGCTCCTTCCCTGCAGTTGCTATCGCGGCTGCTGGGAGCTCGGATGTCTTCTCTGGCTGGCTAACCAGGATCGCATTTCTCTCCGGCTGGCTGGCAGCTCCTCTATTATTCAGCAGGTAGCAGCCTGCAGGTGGCTCAGCTTTCAGGGTAGAGCTGCCCCTGGCTCCCTGAGCCCCCCGTCCCTGCCGGCCCTGCTGTCCCCTCGCTGCCACCACTGAAAATCTCCGTTCCTGACTTTGCAGCACCAGCTTGCCGGCAGGATCAGCTGATCACCTGTCAGGACCCAGCAGCCGGGGCCTCCCGGCAGCACGGCGGAAGCCATGGGCTTCGGCATCAGCAGGATGCGGGCCAGCGCGGGTCCTGAAATGCCTGGGACTGGGCCACGGTCCAGTGCACAGGACCTTGGTTGTCAAGGTGTCCTGGGTCTGTGGGGTGAGCTCCTGATGTGGGGAAGGGAAAGAATTTGCAGGTGGGGAGGTTGCCCTTCACCGGGCTTGCAGGATCCTGGTGATTCTGGGGGTCTCTAGGCCATTCTCCCACTTGGAGCAGAAACACCACCAGCACAGCGTAAGGTCAGTCATGGCTTTACCCAGCTGTGTCTTGAAGGATGGGCTTGCTGCACCTCCCTGATGGCATGTCCCACCACCTCCCTAGGACAAAAAATGAAATTTCCTACTGTCCAACCTGAAGCTGCAATAAATGTCCATTGTCCTTTGTTACATCTCATGCCCCACCAAGACAGTGTGGTTCTGAAATCTTTGCATCTGCCCTCCAAGTAGTTGCATGATGCTGGTAGATCCCAATACGCCCCTCCAATCCATCCAGCCCCAGGCCCCAGCCTTTCCAGCAGCATCTGCTGGTCCCTCTCCAGCTTCTCCACCTCTCTCTGAACTTGGGGGCAAGTCTGGACGCAGCATCCAGCTGGGGGTTCCCTGGTGTTGTGCAACCCCTTCTCTCAGGCTGCTGGCCACACTCCATGTTGCCCAGGATGCTGTTTGCCCTGGAGGTGTTCAAGACCAGGCAAGATGGGGCTTTGAGCAACCTGGTCTAGTGCGAGATGTCCCTGCCCATGGCAGGGGGGTGGAACTCAGTGATCTTTAAGGTCCCTTCCAACACAAGCCATTCTATGATTTGTTCAGCCTCTTGTCCAGGACCTCGTCTGGAACCTTGTCCCAGGTCCTTTTCACTGGGACCCTGCTTAGCTCCCTCAGTCCCCAGGCTGGGTGAAATCTGGGGTTATCCGCTCTGTCTTGTTGATGTCCTCAAGGTTTCTGTTGACCTGGATGTTGAGTTTCTTGGGGTCTACCTGAACTGATGCTCTGCCATTTGCTGCACACCCATTCCCCTTAGTTTAGCCTCACCTGCAAGGCAAGGGTGCACTTGTCTTCTCATCCGACCCTCTGATGAGGATGGGGAGCATGGCCCCAGTGCTGACTTTGGGGCATCCCACTTGAGAGCAGCTGCCAGCTGGGCATCAAGGCATGGGCAAAAACTCATAGAAGGGAGAACAGGGAGAAAGTTGGAGAGCTGCAGTGCTTCTGAAGTCTTGCCTGGGGAGGAAGGCTGCCTGCAGCTGCCAACGCCGCAGCACGGTGGGCTGAGCAACCACTCCTCCATGCAGCATGGCTTGTTGTGGAGCTGTGCTCTGGGTGCCGTGGCCGTCTACTGGTGAGGCAGAGCTGCCAAGCTCCACGCTTGGTTAAAGAAGTGCCGCAGTGGGCAGGGAATGGCAGATCCTGAGTTGGGGACAATGCAGAGGAAAGACCTTGGGGTGGCCTTGGGGCTGCGGAGCAGGGAGCAAGCGAAGCCGGATGAATTTATGGTCTAGAGCTGTCTAACGCCACTGCTGTAGTGTCCCATGGGGAGCACAGGAGCCTGTGTGTAAGCATACGCACACCTGTGTGTCCCCGAGCAAGTGTGTGCGATCACCCCAGCCCCTGCAAGAACCAGACACAGCCTGGAGATCCCACATGTGGGTGCGTGGGAGACGATGGGACCTGAGCCTGGGGGTTTTGTGGCTCCAAAGAGTGTCCATGGGGTGAAGGAAGGGAGGACATGCAGTCCTGGGGATGGAGGAGCTCTGACCAGCTGTGTGGGAATGAGCAGGTGTCCTGCCCAGCATCGTTGAAGCAGGAACCAGCCCTGCCTGGCCACATTTGACTGAACCTGAGGGACAGGAGCATTTCTCTGCCCAGAGGGTTGGGCTGGAATCTCGAACAGAAAGTACTTTCTTCTTTTCTGAAGCTGGACAACAGTGCAGCCACCCAAAAGCTTGTTGGTCGCCATCACATGTCCCCTGCAAGCCACCAGCTGAGCTAAGTATCCATGACCCATTTGCCCTTGTAAGAACTCATGCTCAAACCACCTCCATTTACCACTGCCCTTGGCACTTTTGAACCCAAGGTCTGGATCTGGGTGATGCTTTTTGGAACCTATGAGCCCCAAGGGAGAGAGATGAAGGCAACTGTAACAAATATAAAGCCACATGTTACTGCAACCTTGCCTCTGTCACATCTTGTTTCACTTCTCTTTGTGAGCATCGAATATCAAACATCGTATGGCTGGAGTCGCCTTGAGTTTCCAGCCAGGCTGTGGCTATGTCAGGAGCAATGTGACACCATCTTATGGGGTATCCCTAAGGTATGACAGCCCCAACCCTCCCATCCTCCACAGAGGAAGCAGCAGGAGCCCAGCAGCAGGGGAGGAGGAAATCATAAAATCACAGAATGGTTCGAATTGGAAGGGACCTTAAAGATCATCTCGTTCCATCCCCCTGCCCTGGGCAGGGACACCTCCCACCAGACCAGGTTGCTCAAAGCCCCCTCCAACCTGTTCTTGAATCCCTCCAGGGATGGGGCAGCCACAGCTTCTCTGGCCAACCTGGGCCAGGCTCTCACCACCCTCACACCAAAGAATTCCTTCCCCACATCTCATCTCAATCTCCCCTCTTCCAGTTTAAGACCCTTCACCCTCATCCTATGGCTCCCCTTCCTGATCAAGAGTCCCTCCCCATCTCTCCTGGAGACCCTTTAGGGACTGGAAGTGGCTCTAAGGTCTCCCTGGAGCCTTCTCTTCTCCAGGCTGAAGACCCCCCCAACTCTCTCAGCCTGTCCTCACAGCAGAGGGGCTCCAGCCGTTGCAGCATCTCCGTGGCCTCCTCTGGACTTGTTCCAACAGATCCATGTCTCTCCTGTTCTGAGCACTTCAGAGCTGGATACAATAAGTAGATAAGGTGTGTGATGCACACACACACAGGTGCATCAGGTCCATGTCCTTCCTGTGCTGAAATAAGGGATGCTTCTCTGGAGGAATCAGAGCTGCCACCTGCCACCCTAGCAAGACCTGAGCCTGAGGAATATAAACTTTATGGACTCATTTTGCAGGAGTATCTGTCAGCACAGACCTGGGTGGGATCTGCGTGTGTCCCCATTGCATGGTGCCTTTCAGGCCGTGCTGTTGGGGCTGGATGAATCTGCACCCCGGGCTTAGTGATGTAACCCCGCTGTCCTGCTGCATCCAGCTGCTGGTGGTGGCTTGGCATACCTGGTTTAGTTGGATACTAGCTTTATTTAACCAAGGGACTTGGGCAGTTCATGGTGGTCCCATGGCTGGCATGGAGTTACACTCCTTGGGCTGTCAGTATAGCTGTGCTCCATGTCTGTGTGTTCCCAAGTGAGAAATGCAGCATCAGGTGACAGGATTGTCCTTCACTAGGTTCTCCCATCTCTGGGCTGCTCTTCCAGGGTATTGCCAAGATGGGTTCGTCTGCTGTGAGTATGCAGGGTCCTGCTCTTGACCACTCTTTGTCACTGTGCATGAACAGTGGGGGATGACACTCAGGGGGGGTGAGGCTGGATGGATGGGACGAGGCCAACAGTGTGAGGATCAACAAGGTCAAGTGTCAGGTCCTGCACTTGGGTTGCACCAACCCCATGAATGCTCCGGGCTTGGGGAAGAGGGGCTGGAGCTGCTGGGCGGAAAAGGACCTGTGAATGTTGGTCAACAGTGGCTGAATGTGCGCAGGTGGCCAAGGAGGCAAACAGCATCCTGGCCTGTATGAGGACTAGTGTGGCCAGCAGGACTCAGGCAGTAAAACGTCCCCCTGTACTGGTCACTGGTGAGGCCCCACCTCAAGTGCTGTGTCCAGTTTTGGGCCCCTCATGACAGGAAAGACATTGAGGTGCTGGAGCATGTCCAGAGAAAGGCAACAAAGCCAGGCAGACATGGTGCTGAGGTCAGTGTTAGGTTGATGGTTGGACTCGATGATCTTAAAGGTCCCTTCCAGCTGAGACAATTTTGTGATTCTATGATTCTATGACATGGGGGACCCTTACTCTAGCAGCCCCTGGGGTCCCGGCCTGCCCATGGCCACTCACTTTGTGAGCAGGGTCCTCTCCAGAGCCTGGTGGGACCAGGGCATGCAGGAGGTCCTGGCAAGGGTATAGCGAGGAAGACCCAGCCCCCATCCCGGTTGTATCCGAACAAGGATTTTCTCGTCCCTTCCTCCTTCCCTTTTCAGTCTCCAGGTCAAATTTCTAAACTCTTCAAGTGACTTTACAGACTCCAGATCCACGGTGTGGGAGTTAAATGCTGGGAGTGGGGTTGCAGGGCTTTGTGTGTGGGTGTTCACAGTTCCGTTAATAAGCTCGGGTGCTTCAGCAGGATGAGCTCCAGCCTCTCCAGAGCTGGAGAAGAGCATCCAATCCCCTCTGCATCGACCACTCCTGCTCCTCTGAGAATTGGCTTTGAAAGGCTTTGCAAATGGAAATGAAAAATATTTTTCCTACAGAAAACAGTTGTGCTTTGGTTTTATGTGAACCACAGCAGCGGCTCCCCCTCAGATCCTCATTCCACCAGGGTTTATCTCCTGGGGCATGAGCAAGAGAGGAGGAAAAACTGGGGATAATCTGAGAGTTTCCTGGCCTGGAGAAACCCAGCCGGAGCAGTTAGGAAGGGTTACAGCCCACCACACAGCACTAGGAGAAGGTGGCTGGGGTGTGAAGATTCTCCAGGATGGGAGTAGGAAGGTGTTAAACCCCTGAAAGACATGAGGTCATCAGCTCTGGTTAGGCTGCCTCCCCTCTGAGGGACACAGTGAGTAGCAGGAAAGCCAGAGAAAAACGAGATGCTGACCCAGGAGTGGGACAGGCATGAAACGTTGTTGGGCTGCAGGGACCCTTGAGAGACCCCA